GAAAGGCATCTATATTTCAGTCTCTAGGTCTCTTCCTCGTTCTCTCTCTTCCTGTCAAGTAAATAAACAACAAAATTTAGAGAAGAATTTTAGATTCAGTAGCAATATCCTCTATACTTACATATCAAATATTATTCATCCTTGGATGGTAGATTTTCAGTCATTTCCATAAACACATATATTGCTATAATAATAACCATATGCCAACAGTTCATATACGTTATAAGAAACTTGAGTTACTGAGAGGAGCAGAACTAATACTAATGAGGTTCCAATACATATCAGTATGTATTGTAGAGGCTGATACAAAAATTAATAACATGAAGAGTCTTCAGGAATTCATAGAATGCAGGGCTGTGTTTGGCACAGTGGTTAAGGCACCATTTCAGATGTCCACATTCCACATCAGAGCTGCCAACCCAACTCTAGCTCCAATTCCTAATTCCAGGTTCTGGAATATCTTCAGGTCAGCCCACATTATTCAGCACTGTAAATCACCATCACCATGGATACAATCACCTATTGAAGAGACCTGTGGAGTACAGCTGGGGCCACAGTTTCTCTCTAACTTCCTATTAATGTGATCTCTCCCTGTATAACAATTTGCCACCTTGTAACCTCCCACACATGGCATAGACAAGGCATCTGTCTCTATAACTGATCCAATTCTAGAGTAGTTGTGCAGTGTGAGAGAAATCACACTGGACACAAGTGCAGGATGTTAGGAGGAGTATTCATTGCCCAAACCTGGCAGACAGTGCCTCCTACTGCACTCCAGCAGCTACTGCACCCAGTGGCAGAATGAGGGGTTTTAAGCACTCATCCTCCAAGCTGATTGAAAGCCATCCAGAACAAAGCTGCCACAAATTCAAGTAACTAATTCCAAGAGGCAAGAAGGGAGCTGCCAAAGCCCAAAGTTTTCCTGTGGTTAATTAAACTAACCTAGCACAATAGGAAGCAGGAAGGCCAGGTGTGCAGAGCTTCTGGAGTCATTTCCTCTCTGTCAATTAAGTTGAATGGCACCAGAGGTGGGAGGGACTGGGAGCACCTGAGAAGACTCCAGAACCAGTTTCTTGCAATCATTTAACTTGAATGGCAGGAGAGGAGGTAGGAAGGGCAGGGGGCACTGTCAATTAACCTGACAAGTGGGTGCCAGGCCTCATCGGACTGCAACCCTTCACAGATTTATGCCATTAGATCCACAATTGACAGTTAGACAAACTTATTTTCCTTATGAAATACCCTTCCTCAGGTATTTCCTTGGCGTAACAAGTGTGGTTTAAAACAGCATAGGAAATGAACAACATTTGCTGTGCAAAATGTACCTAGCAGTATTAAGAGGCTAACTGCCCAACACTGGACTGAACATTCATGGGAAACACCTGCAAACACAGTGCCCTTGCACTATACACAATTCAATTGCACAGTATTTGTGAGTTCACAGCTGGAAGTTAGCAGAAAATATCTCAAGGCGCCCATTCAGTAGGCATTAAAATAACATGCCTCAGGAGTGCTCAAGCTTCCTCATTGACTTCCCATTTGCTAAAGTACATTCACCAGACACCTTCCCCACAATACTGACCTCATTTTATTTCACTGAGTAGCCAAGATTAGGAAATTCTTTGATATTTAAAAGAAACAAGTCCATTATTTTATATAACACTCTTTGCTCAGAATTTCAATTGATTCAATGTATGTGAGAAAGAGCCCTCATCCAGTGCCCATGAAAATATAAACTCGCATAACCATTAAGGAACTCAGTTTGGAGAATCATCAGAAATTTTAAAATAATTCTACCATTTAACCAGACTCTACAAAAACTTAAAGCAAAGAGACAAATTCAGGATTTAATGTAGTAAAATCACTCTCCTGTCCTCATTAACTCAATAATCAACAAGTTTTGTGTCAAATACTGGGAGAGATTGCAGCATTGGGAGCAGCTGACCACTCTCAGCAGCAGGCTCTGGGTTCCATAAAACATTCTGTAAGGAAATTCCCAGTGGATGGCAGGGAGAGCCTGCCTGGTCAAGGCTGAACACGGAAGATGACCTTTTGAGCGCACCCGATGTCACCCTCCACCTCATGATATTTTCAATTGGACCTTCCCCAGTGCTGAGTCAATTCCAGAGGCATACGTCTGAACATCCTGAACTGGGAGGTAAGCAATCCTCTATTCATTATAAAGTGCTCTGCCCCAGGTACTTCCTCATAGTAATAGGGATGTCCTAACACGTCATATGAAGAAAAGACCAATTTCAGTGAAGAAAAGGACCCAGCAGTGAAGGAGCTTCTTCCTGAGTCCCAGCCAGATGACATCTTGGGGACCTCCTACCAACACCTTAGCCTTTCACTGATCTAACCTTAGAACCTTAGATATTCGTTGGTCATTGTTGCTGAGTGATCAGAAATCATTTTCAGCAGGCCATTAAGCATATATTAAAAGCAAATCTCGGTTTCCTTGGCTGTGTTCTTGAGGGCTCGCATGTTAACCTGTTGAAGCCAGCCGGGTGAGTTCAAGGCTGCAGACACTCTCCAACTGTCAGTACAAGAGCTTCGGTTGGGTGGAGTGGAGCAGTACAAGAGCTTGGGTTGGGTGGAGTGTGTGGCATTTGTTGTTGTTTTACTAAAATCATTCTAAACTAGAAATCGTAGCGTTGTCCATCATTAATGCTACAATGATGTTTAGAGGAATCTTTTCCCCAAAACTGCAGATGTCAACTTATGTCACAGGAATGGCTTGAATAATAAATACATTCCTTTCGATTAAAAAAAAAAAAAGGTAAAGTGAAAGATGCAGAAAAGCTAATTGGCTCAATGGGCTAATCCTCTGCCTTCAAGAGTCAGCATTGCATTTGGTAGTTGATTCCTGTCCCTGCTGCTCCCCTTCTGATTCAGCTCCCTGCTTATGGTCTTGGGATATAGTAGATTATGGCCCAAGTTGTTGAACTCCTATACCAGCATAGGACAATTGGAAGGGATTTTGTTTTCCTGGCTTGTGTTCTACAAATTCAGGTGTTAAAAGAATTTGCTGAGTGAAATAACAGATTCCAGATCTGTCAGTCTCTTCTTCTTGAGTCTACATTTTGTAGAATCATACAGAAATTTAAAAATGAAATGCTGCATGTGGGCCCCCGTGGAATGCAGGTGGTTGACTCAGGTGGTAGGAAGAAACCCCGGTTTGTGCATGAAAACTGTGCCCTGAGATTAATCTTGCAAAACAAAAAGTTGCTTGGCAGTTTGCTGAGAGAGACTGAGCAAGAGGAAAGGGAGCCAAAGGCAGAGATGAGCAACTATAACACTGAGGTGGCCTCCTCTGTGATGCAGGAAACAAGTAAATTCACTTTCCTCCCTCTCCCAACTCAGCAAGCAAACATGTTTTTGTACAATTGATTTGGAAAATGTGTAGTACTGGTAGCAACTGACCACTCTCAGATGTGGGCTGGAGTCTCTGTGTATCACTCTGTAACGAAATTCCTGGAGCTTGGCTGGGAGAGCATCCTGGGTCCAGCCTGAACATGGAGGATGAACTTTAGACCACACCAGAGTCTAAGCCCATTCCCTGAGCCTCTACATTCTCACCACTGTGTTTATGTGCTTGTCTCCTTCTGAGAAGTCCCTTATGGCTTCTGTGAAAATCTTGTCCATGGGGCAAGAATCTGTTCACTGGCAGCCACAGATCTGAGAATGAAAGTCTGCTACCCATGCCTTGGAGGGAGGTACTCCTCACCCTGGAATGCTCTACTACATTTCCCCTGGGCTCTGGGAGTTAAGGACAGGCAGAGCAGTCAAGGAAACCCTGCTTTCTCTCCCCACACCTCTGTCCATCATTGCAGCCAACCAGGTTCTTAATGCTGAGGCCAATTAAGGCATCCTGGACCCCATCGTACGAAGGACTTGCTACCAAGCTCTGCATATGGAAACTAGGCTTCCACGGGTTCTGGCACAGGAACTCAGAGACCTCCACCATTGTATGGAAGCTCCTTAAAATCAGAGAGAGGCAAAGCCAGGGTCCAGGCACTGTGGAACAGCACATTATTACACTGCTTGCAACACCAGAAACACCTGTGAGTACTGATCTGTTTTGCAGCTGGTCCAAAGCTTCCCAAACGACCATGGAAGACTTCAGTGGGAGATTCAGCTATCTTTTAGGGATCCTTTTTCCGTAAGGCTCCCCAGGTGTTTGAGCAGTGAACGTGCCCATCTGCCTCTGTCTCTCTGAATGTGAAATGCTTAATTAAAGAAAGAAAGTTAAGATAAGACTGTCTGTGGCATTGAGGAAAAAGATTGAGTGGGGAGGAGTCTCTCAAGCATGGCAAGACATATGCAGACCCACTAAATGCTTATGTTTCATTCTAGGGCCCCTGCGCTCCTGCTGTTTGGAAACCAGCTCCTGAGGCTCCATTCCCCATCATGCACTCCAGGTTGGCTTATGCTACACTCCAACGCATGGCACCAGGATCTGCCAGCCGCTCCAATTGTCCCAAACTGTAGCATAAGGGCCTTCCATAGCCATCAGCCTGTAGGGTCCTCCCATCTAGCTCCCACAGCCACTTTGCCTTTGGCTGTGATTTCAGGCATTTTCAACTTGGGCCAAATCACGCCTCTTCAGCCTTACTGCCTCCAGCACAGGGCTCTGCTACCTCCAGCAGAGACTGAGGCGCAGGGCTGAGCAGCTTCTCAGGAGACCACTGTCATCTTAGAATCTCAACCAACAGTCCCTAAAGTTCATTCAGCTTCCAGGCGCTTGAAAACCTGCACACCAGGCTAAGGCAGAGCAGCCATACACCTTAACTCTACCCTGGACAAAGCAGCGCAGGCATAAGCTCACCGAAGCCATCTCCTTTGACATACAACCCAAGGCAGCACCAACGCAGACTCCCAGGCTTATTCTGTTCCTCTTGCTCACTGCTGACCAAGATCTAGTAGCAAACTAGTAGTTGCAACCAGAAAGCTCTGAGACTGAAACTGCTGCCACAAGCTCATCTTTACAGGATTTGTCTATGGAAACAGGAAAGGGAAAGCCAGCAACGGGGCTAGCTACACGTCATTCCCTGGTGCACTACCTGCAGGACTGCCAGGTGGGTTTAAAGGGACACAGGGCACAAAGGGGTTTTGAAAGCCAGCTGAGCAGCCTTGCAGCACGGAGTCTGCCCCACATGCTGAGGGAGCACCAACTGGACCTGGGAACCCTGGACAAAGTGTTTGCCTCACAATGGCTGAATAGCAGGGAGGTTGTGTGTGGCACCAGTTGCAACAAGCTCTTCAGGCTGGATGTACACTCGGGTCAGATCACACACTGCCCCCTGATGGTGGACAGAGAGCCTGCACCAGCCTTTGACCTGCCTGACTGTGGCATCCACGCCATTGAGCTGAATCCCTCCAAGACACTTCTGGCCACAGGGGGCAAGAACCCCAGTAGCCTGGCCGTGTACCAGCTGCCGACCATGGACCCTGTGTGCCTGGGTGACATCGAAGGCCACGAGGATGGGATCAGTGCTATTGCCTGGGTGAGTGACAATGTGGTGGCGAGCAGCTCCTATGATGGCACCCTGGCTTTATGGAGGTTGGACCCTGACCTTTTCTATGATACCATTGTTCGGAACAATAACAGGAGCATTCAAATCTATGGCCACACCTGCGCAGCAAATGTGGTAGATATATTCACACACAGCCCTTTTTCCGGTGACCACATCCTTGCCCTAGCCTTCAACAGCAGGAAACAGGAGCTGGGATCATTTTCCGTGGATGGCTACTTCCACCTCTGGAAACCTCAGAGCAACCTGTCCAGGTTGTTCTCCTTCAAATTTCCCTACGTTGGAGACGAAGCATTCATGACCTACTGTGATGAGTTCTCCCTGTATGCTGTGGCTTCCAGTACCTATGTCTCTTTCCTGGATCCGCGTAAGTCAGGGAATAACTTACAGCTGCTGGACTGTAACAGGATTGGCGACAGTGTGTGCTCATTGAGCTTCTACCAGGACATTATCACGTTTGGAACGTTCCATGGCTCCCTGGTCTTCTATGACATCCGTGCCCAGAAGTTCCTAGAGTACAGCAATGTGGTCAGCCAGGACTCTTCTACAGGGACTGGGAGAATACTCAAGCTCACCTGTAGCAGGGGCTGGATCAATCAGGTTACCCACAGGGCATACCGGAATCTACGTTTGACCCAACTGCCAATGTCCCTGTATACCCACTGCTACAACTGGCCAGAGATGAAGCTCTTTGTGGCTGGGGGACCTCACATTTCTAAACTCCATGGAAACTATGCTGGCCTGTGGAGCTGAGGATGGCTGCTATTGCTCAAGGTACACTGACACCCTCTACTTCTTTGTGTCTTCCACTGTTGTTCTGAGTTCATGCTTTTTAATTCCCTAAATTTTGATTTTTCAGGAGAATTGGCCAAATGTTACTCTCCCTCATCAGTGGAGAGAAATAGAAAGATCCTCTCATCATTCAAACTTTTGAACACTCTTCTTCTCAACCTAAATTGACTTTTCAGACGTACAACACAACCCCACAACTTGACTATATCTCAGTGTTTATTTCTGTCACGGAATGAATCACATGTTCTGTTTCATTAGGTGAATTCCGTCATGTTCTTAAAGTTGATGATATTTTCTTTTAGCTCAAACCTGGCATTTCATTATACCTTGCAAGTGTTTTTCATTCCAGGTATATTGCATAATCATGATATCTTCAAAGGAAGTGATTTTATCACATCATTCTGTTTCCCAAATGAACTGGGCTTTCTGGAAGGTTTAGTGTTGAAAGTATTTCATTTGAAATTTATGAACCTTTAGGCATGCTTTTTCTTTCTTTCTTTCTTTCTTTCTTTCTTTCTTTCTTTCTTTCTTTCTTTCTTTCTTTCTTTCTTTCATAAATTAGCTTAGAATCTTGCATCCACATCAATATTGCTACTCATGAGAGCACTTCATATTTGCCTGGGGTTGTAGTTACCAGGGTGAATTATCTGAATTTCAGATTGAGCATAGTATTTAGTATCCGCAGCCTTATGTTAAGCTTCAGTCAATTGCTGTTCTAGATTTCTGCATACAGTTTAGTGTGTGTGTAAGAATCCTGCCCAGGACTGAGTGCCACCCCTCAAAGCAGCGTTCCTAAGTGTGAATGTGAAAGATGTGTCAACTTTGGGAATGTGTGCAGGAAATTCATTCAGTGTATTTGATATGACTGTTCTTGATATTGAATGTTATATTAAGTCATGTTTTCAAAATCCTGTTCTACCTAAAATAAAGTTGCAAGAAAGAAAATTGAGCTGTGCCTACTCATTTGCTTAGAAAAAAATAACAAACTTGCTATGTAAATCTCCAACTAGTAATATTTTCATTTCAGGAATTTCAGACATTTTGTTATTTTAAAATAGTTGAGAGTAGTTTGAGAGAAAGCACTTTGGGCCTCTGTTAATTGCAAAATGTGAACCGATGTAGAGTGTGTCTGAGGGGCTGTATGCTGGATGACTGAAAGAAAGAAGAGAAATTGGCTCTGCATTGAAGCTGGCATGACTGTTCTTGGAAGTGGTATTGTATCATGTCTGTTTTTCGTTAATGTTTGTAAAGAGTTTTTTCATTTACTGGAAAGAAAGTGTTGTTGGTGGGAAGAAGCTTGAGAAATCTGACATTCACTGGGTTGACTCTCCAAATGAGCACAACAGGCAGGTGAAGACAGGGTCTGGGTCTTCAACTCCTCTGTGGGGTAACCAGGGACGCACGAAGTTGGACCATGTTCTGTTCCTTCCCAGGGCACGGCAGGGAGCTGGGCGGGAAGTGGAGCAGCTCAGAAGTGATTCAGCCCCCTCTGGGATGCCTGTATTCTAGGCAACCCCTTAACATGCTGAGCCACCAAACTTCCCCCGTTGGCCCCAAGCCCATTTTCCCTTAATGCTTTGGCACTGAAATGGTGCTTTGGTGTGGTAAATCAGAATCAGAAGTGGAATGAATGGTGGTGTCTATGCGTTCAGAAATTTAGGTACAAATAAGGACTTTAGGAGGCACACACTCTATGTACAGTTTTAACAGTAAAGCACATTGTGTGCATGGAAGCTTTACAGACTCTGCTGTTAAGGTCTTGAGAACAGAAAATGTGACTCTCATGTCTCCAACTCTCATACCTCCTCAAGGTCTAATAACTGAAAGGCAGCCAGTGAGTATGCACTGAATGGAAGTACTTGACTCTGGAGACGTAAGGTTCAAGGTTTCCCACAAGTAAATACTTATATTTCAGATTGAATCTGGTTTTGTCTCAATTCCCCTTCAAATAGCCAGTTTGATTTTTTTTTCCTTGTTGGTTGTTTGTTTGACCAACATGAAGGGAAAGATCTTTCTACCATGGGTTGTCTCCCCAAATCCCTCGAGTGTCCAGGCAGGATGTGATGTGGCTGAATCTGAGAGCAAAACATAATGCAGGTATCTCAAGTAGGTGTCAGGGACTCAGCTCCATGAGGATGGAAATATGTCTCTCAGAGAGACTGCGCCCTGTGAGGAGGCTGGAATCCTAAGCAGACATGGGATTTGAACTCAGGCACTCTCCTATGGCATGTGGGCATCTCACGTGGTATCTTAATGGTTCTGCCAAATATCTGCCGCCAGTGCTGCCACCTAGCATGTTTTCCTAAAAATTTGCCCTAGTTGCTTCTTTGCAGTTCAGCCCAAAGTGCTCTGACAAGTTGGTATACACTTTTGCGAGTGATAATAGAAGATGAATATGGTACTAGGAGATCATGGAAAATGCATAAATATTGTGTAGCATGCCAAAGAAGCTTTTTATTGGCACATATATATTTAATTTTTTCTGAAAGTGTTTTCACAGAAATTATTTGTGCATCAAGTTCAGCGCCATCACTTAATTATTTGCAGTACATCAATTGCTTCGAAACACTGGGGAGTATTCTTAGTCTATGTAATTTTAAGATTGAATACATGCTGAGATTTTGCAAATACTGTTTTAGACTCTAAGATTGGAAAATCTCTATGAAATAGAATTGCGACCTGAGTGATCACTCTGTATCTCCTCCTGTCTAATGGTGACTTCCAAAAAAAAAAAAAACCAATAACCTTCTCAAACAAAGAGATCATTTTTACAGAAGTGAAGCCAAGAAATCCTAAATCAAGGTATTTCAAGAAGGGGTTAGGATGAGGAGACTTATCCCCCTAGAATATGTGCTGGACTACTGAGCCTCTGTGTGCCAACATGAAGAGGTACTGGGCATCTAAGTAGTGGGTCCTTGTGTGGAGCATTCAAGGCATAGAAACCACTGCCTTCTGAATGGACAGTTCCAGTTTTTCTGGCACCAAAGTGTCTCTCTAGCTTCCTATGTTGTCATGTGGTCTCTCTCTGTATCACAATGTCCTACCATGTCACCCTCAACCTCATGACATAGTCATTGGGAACTACCTCAGCGCAGAGCCAGTTCCAGAGGCATACATTTGAGCATCCTGAAGTGGAAAGTAAGCAATCCTCTATTCATTATCAAGTGCTCTGCCTCAGGTACCTCCTCATATTAACAGGGATGTCCTAACACAGCATATGAAACAAAAACCATTTTCTGTGCACAAAAGAACTCAGCCATAAAAGAGTTCCTTCCTGAGGCCCAGCCAGATCACATCATGGAGAACTCCTACCAACACCTTAGCCTTAAATGATGCAACACTGTAGTGCTAGATGTTGGTGGGTCGCAGTTGCCAAGTGATCAGAACTAACTTTCACCAGTTCAATTTTATGTAGCATAGTAAAACCAGCTTTGGCTTGGCAAACATTCATTTATTTGTTTTTGTTGGAATGTCATATGTCTAGAGAGGAGAAGAGATGAAGAGGAAGATCTTCATTGTGCTGATACTCTGCAAGTGACCACAACGGCCAGAGCTGAGTGGATCTGAAGCCAGGAGCTTCTTCTGGGTCTCCGAGGCATGTGCAGTGTCCCAAGGCTTGAGACCTTCCTCGACTGCTTTTCCAAGCAGGAGCTGTATGGGAAGCCTGGCTGCCTGGACACAAACAGCTGCCCAACTGGGTTCCTGACACTTGTAAGGTAAGGACTTCAGCCACCAGTCTACCGTGCTGAACCTTCTTTGGTTCTTCTGGTAGCTTTCCTTTCCTGATTTCTGAGAACTTTCTGAGGTTAGTATACATCACTACCTTTCACATAACCTATACTTGTCTCTTTTGGAACTCTATGGGACTTTGAATATATATTTGATTTATCATCTCAAAAAGCATACTTCTACATCCAGCAATTTTTCTATATCCTTATTCTGAGAATATCTTGTGGTATTTCCTTTACTTATGTTCATTTGTAAATTTCATCTATTTTCATTTTTTTCTAAATCCCTATATATAGTTGCCATTTTATTATTGTTCGCAATAAATTTCAGATATACCCATAGAAAATGTAATACGGTTTCTGTTTTACCATGATTTTCCTTTTTATTTGTTTAGTTGCCATTGCATTAATACCTCTTACAACTACATACTATATTATTTGAACACAATGGAATTCTACCTCTGCCTTCTTGCTTGACTTATTTATTATGAAACCATCAGTATTGCATTTTCACAAGGTGTCCTCACAGTATGTCTATGCTGGTTGCCCGTATCATCTTGTGTCAACTGATCTATTTCTCCTGTGTAATACAGTCATAAATTTGTGCTCTTCTAGATATCCAAGAGATGCTTATGCACTTTAACTGGAATTCTAAAAGTGAAGCTCTCCTTACAAATGTCTTTCCCTTAAATTCATCTTGACAGATGTGAGTGAGATTTTTGTTTTATCTCACCTTGCTGACATGTCCTGTTATTTCTCATTTTGAACAAATCCTGATGTACTGATTTCCACCAAGTTTGTCATAATTTCTTTTGCTGCATTATTGCTCTACCTTCTAAGAGATGTCTCTCAAAGAAATATAATTTGCATTTTGCAAATTGGCTTATATTGCTTGGGTTTGAAATTAGTGGTGTCAGGTATATTTTACGTTGATATCAAAAAAGTGTAAGCCAAACATATATATAACAGTGCTTAGGCCATATTATTTTTATATATATTTTAGTTGACCAGCATTTTTCTCAGTTTCATAACAGTTCATGACAATGTTCAAAGACACAGCTTCATGTGAGTTTCTTTTTGTATAGATGATGATTAATTCCAGATCATGTAAATTTTAACCTTTCTTGAATTCCATGAGACTACAATGCAAACATTGATTTTTGTATTGATGTTTTTCTTAGGTTTGTTTTTTGTGTCTGTTAGCCATGGATTTTACTTGATTTGTAACTACTG